TCCTCTCCTCTCCTCTCCTCTCCTCTCTTCTCCTCTCTTCCTCTTTTTTTCAGCACCCAACATTGAACTTGGGGCCTTGTGCTTGCCAGGCAGGCACTTATGCCACTGAGCTATCTTCCCCAGACCCTCCACTGAGCTATCTTGCAGGCCCTCCAAGTCTGTTTCTTTCGAGTAGAGGTGAAGCCCAGATTCTCCATGGAGCAGACACTGACACTGATGCCTCTGGCCTTCAGATAACAGGGTAGCAGAGTTCTTGCAGAATCCCATTTTCTTCTCTGAATGCTTTACTGACTCCTTATTACTGACTAAAGTTCTAGTTTCTGAGTGCAGTGCTCTTTGGTAATATCTTTCATTATCTTCTTCATAACCAACACACACACACACAGTCTTTGATTTGTGACACTGAGCTTCTTATATGTTCTCAAATAGATCTTTTTATTTCACTCTGTTCACCTTGTTCTTTCACTTGAATCTTTTCTCTTCTGAGTTAAATTTTGTTAAGCGTTTCAATGTTCTATTTATAAGAAATCTTTGCCTATTTTTATTTTACATTGTATTGACATTATTGATCTTCTGGCCTAGTTTTTGCTGAAGCAGAATAGTGTGGAAATATTGATGACATATAATAGGTGCTTATCAAATGTGTAAGTTGAAATGATTGTTGTAATAAAATATTTTGATGACAATTTTATTTTTTTTTTATTTATTCTTTTTTTTTTTTTTTGGCGGAACCGGGGATTGAACTCAGGCCCTTGCAATTGACAGGCAAGTGTTTATTCTACTGAGCCATCTCCCTGGCCCCTTGATGACAATTTTGGACAACAATTTTAGCCTTTGTTTCTTTTTTCCTTAAATAATAACTCCTCTGAAAATTATGTCAGCACCATTTTTCCCGCAGATATTGACCAAAAATCAAATCTTGACATTGCACTGTGACCCATGGTCAGTTGCATGATTGGTAAGCTTTCTGTTATAATGAAGGAAATAGTAAAATTGGAATTGCATTACAACAACATTGTGAGACACTGAATGAGTTCATTTCTAAAACATTTGGCAAAGATATTTTGTTTAGTAATATTAATTTTATTATCAGACAGAAAGAATGAAAACCAATCCTAAAGGGTCAGAAGACTGAAATGATCTATAAGACTTGGACATATGACCATGTTATTGGTATTTATTTCCTAATTAGTTCCCAAACTTAAATGTATTTATACATGAGAAATATATTCATAATATGGTCTTCTATATTTACAGATTCTAGTTCAGTGCCAGAGAGGATTCTGCATGGTCATATACATTACTCTGTCTCCTTTTTTTTTGGTACTGAGGATTTAACTCAAGACCTTGCACTTGTCAGGCAGGTGCTTATGCTGCTGAGCTATTTCCCTGGTTCTGGACTGTCTTCTTGCAAGAAGCCCACAAAACTCCTTTTAAGGAAAATTTTGAATTTAATTTTCCCAGGTATCAAGTGAATAATATGAGATGATATGAAAAATTAGTAAGAGAAAATCAAGGTAACCTGATAACAGACATCCTAATATCAGGAATAAAGTATTTTATCAAGAAGTGTAAGGTTCAGTTACTGAATGATTTATTATTTTCTCTTTTAACTTAGGATATCTAGGCAAGGATGTACAATCATATTCTCCATTCATCAGCCTCGGTATTCCATCTTCCAGTTGTTTGATAGCCTCACCTTACTGGCTTCGGGAAAATTAGTGTTCCATGGACCTGCACAAGAGGCTGTGCAGTACTTTGCATCAGTAGGTATGTTTGACTTGTTCACACAGTAGAATCTTTTTGCTTGGAATCCTGGAAGAGAACAAAGTGTGCCAACATTGCAGTTTGATCTTTTTGTAGATATGCTTTGAGTTCTATGACTTTGTTATGGCTTGTATCTGGATGTCCCCTTAAAGCCTCCTGTGCTCATAGGTGGGGCATCTCAGGACTGGTCAGATGTAGAGTGTATGATAGTGAAATTGAGGGTGTGTGGTACTAAATTAATCCACTGATGGGAATTAGTACACTCTGGGTGGCTGAATGAATTTACTGAAGGTGATTTACTGAATTTACTTTTACAAACAAAAGTCTTTTGCATGATTAAGAAGTCAGTAATACTAGACCTTTCCAATGCTGTTTAACTGATAAAATAATGTGTTTGCCACAAGTCCAACACAATAAAAGAGAAAGGGTAAAGATCATTTACTGAATGATTTACTGAAGATCACCCCTGGATGATCCAGGGTGTGGGTGATAGCACTCAAAAGACTTGTAGCCTGGATAGGATAAAACAGAAAGGCAAGTTCCCTGCTTGTTGTTATGCTGCCTCTTGCATGCATTTCCATGTACTGTTTCTTCACTGTCATGCCCCTCTGCATGCCACTATGAGATCTGACTATGGACTGAAACCTCTGCAGACTATGAGCTAAAATAAAATTTTCCTTCTTTAACTTTGGGTGTTGGGTGCTTTGGTCAGTAATGAGAAAGTAAGTAAGACATATTCCAAATCATCTTTGGCCAGTTTTATGCCAAAAGATTTTTGCATTTTGTAGTATTTTTTTAACCTCTTCCCATTTTTTGTTCTATTTGGGTGTGGGCACATGCATTCAGCTTCCAGGCTGTGGTACCCTTTCTCTTTTATTGTGTTGGACTTGTGACAGACACATTATTTTATCAGTTAAACAGCATTGGAAAGGTCTAGTATTACTGACTTCTTAATCATGTAAAAGACTTTTGTTTGTCAGCTTTTCCATGGTATGTGCTCTTGCTTCACTCTGCTGAGAACCCATGGAGAAGCTACTTCATTATTTAGTAACTCTAAGTTGCAGATTTAAGCTTTAAATGGCTGCAAGTGGTCTGTTAGTCAATATAATTACCCTCACTGAATTGAAATGTGATAGTCTACTATTTCTGACACTTACAGCCTGTCTGATCCTTTATATTTTAGATTGAATGATTTTTTTTAATAATTCAGGGAGCATAATTCACCCAAGCATTTAAATTTTTTCCATAATATTTATTGAGAATTAAATAGCAATGAGAGTTTCAAATCAAATTGGTAGGACAGTTCCAATAATTAACATATTGCATACTGCCTTCCTAGTGGTTATTTGTTATACAAGATGCCGACATGATATTCTGTTTACAAACACAATTAGAACAAATCCCTCTATTCCTTGAATTAAGAGAATATAGCTACATATCTATCCTAACCATTTTGAATATACAGATACAAAATGGTCATTCATCTATATCTCCTTTTCTGCTTAGTTCCACCATTTAAATGTTATAGGTGTGTGAACTCAGCAAAATATTCCAGAATAGTCCAGTAGTCCATAACAGTACTAGGTCTTCCACTTGACAGGCAATGTCAGAAGTTGTTGACTTGAGTCCCCTACAGCTCAACATAACAACATAGCTTTATTTCTTGTATTTTGTTTTTATACTTTTCTGCTGGATGGTTAAGGCCAAGATAAAGCAAAACCTATGTAACAAGAATTATAGCTTTTATATCTGATAAGGTCAGTCAAATCCCCTCAGGATTTATCCTGAGATCCTGTACCTTAGATTGTAGATCCTTTATCAGTGTCAGCCATATGGATGATTCACGGCCATTGCTTGGCCAATTTGCTCTCTGTGAAAGCCTGAGAGAATGTTTTCTCTCCATGTGACTCTCTTTAGGCACACTCTACATCATCGATCACTTTTCTCTTTGGCCCCATAATCTCCTTGATCAGAAAATTTGGGACACTACCGAGTTACATGAAGTTACAGTACAAGTTCTCATATGTCCTGAAACTTAATTGACCTTGGAAGGCTAGGGTCAAAATTTTGGCTTTCCTTGCGGCCCTCCTTTTTCTCTAATTTTGGTCTGCAAACTTAGATTGTTAGCCCTCCTGAAGAGAAGCTTATTGTTATTACCATACAACCTAAGCTGGTAAGCTTAACCTCATTATCTGTCTGAATATCAAACATCTTAGGCATAACATGGAACAGGTATTTTTCATCAAATATTGATATGTTGAACTTTAAGTCCCTAAAGAATATGATGAAAAAACGTTTAAAATTAGAATATATTTTAAAAATAGGCATAAAGAATTATATAATTCTTATGTTTACACATAAGTCCAAAAATCTAACCATATACAACCTTGAAGCAGGATGGTCCCAAAACATTCCTTTTCCTGTCTTCTGCTTTCATTCTCCACTCCCATCTTTTTGAAGAGCTATGATGATAAGGACTAATACAGCATTCTCTGAATAAATCAGGATTTGTATGGGATTTGCTGGGATTCTTGTTGCTGGGATATCACCTGGTGCCCACACTTAAGGAGGAGAATTTATTTGGCTCATGGCTTCAGAGAAGGAGGAGAGTTGTGTGGTTTTTGTTTTTGTTTTGTTTTTATTTTTGGCTTATGGTTTTAGAGAAGTCAGTCCCTTATTAATTGGTTCCAAGTCAGGCTGCTTAGTTAATGATGGCCAGGAATCTACTACTTATACTGCATGACGACCACTAGTGTGCCTCAAAATTTCCTTCACCAGATCAGTTAGTCCCTGCCTTTGTAAGTTACCCTCCCAGACAGTCACTGCACATGGACATATGTAGACAAATTATAGGCAGATGGCTGTAGTCCACTTTATTTTAGAGCCTTCATTCTCATAGCTGAAACCTTCCGAGCCTGGTCACTACTGTAAGCATTCTTATCAGCATTGATCTTCTAAGCTCTGACCAGAATCATCCATCTGCTTTACTTATAGCCTTCTAAACTTTCTTTTGTCTGATTCTAAAGACTTTTCGAACTCTTCCCAGGTACTAGTTCCAAAGACTTCTGAACCAGGTGGTCAAATAGAAAAAACCCAATTCTGGTATCAATTTTCTAGTAAATAGCTTTCCTATTGCTAAGATAAATTTATCTATACCAATGATTTATTTTGTTAAAGGAATATAAGACTATTTATTGACCACTGTTCACCATTAGTTACAATCAAGTAAAGGGTACACATTAGGATAACATTCTGACTACTACGAAGTTGCTCTCCTGGCTTCGACTGAAAACAGTAACCTGAATACTGAAAAGACTGAGCCTACATGTAAGGAACAAGTTGGGGTCAAGAAAAAACATGCAAGTCAATAATTTAGATAACAAGATTGTCTAATCATTTATTCTAGGTCCTGAATGATGAGCCCCTTCAGCCACTCAGTAGGTATCTGTGAGCCAAATCAAATCATATATATATATATAGCCAAATCA